CGCCTGGGCCCCCCCCGGGGGGCGGCGCCGCGCCGCCCCTCTCCGCCCTCCCTGCCGCGGGCCCCGGGGGCAGGGTTTTCCTGCAGATGTGCGAGCCAGAGCCTCTCCGAGTTGGGGCAGCTCCCTCTGGCCTGTCCCTGCAGCTCCCGCGTCCTTCCGCAGGGGCCCTTCCTCCTCCCTCCCTTCTCAAAGGGGGTTCACTATGGTCTAGACGAACGGAGAGAGAAGGGCCAGGCCACGATTTCCAGACCCCAGATTCTGCGCCAGAGTTAGGGCATCATTACAACTGCACCTCGCCTCGCTCACGCTCACCGGAGAGGTGGCGCTTCCTGTAGCGTCTAGCCATTGCGTCCAGCACGCGCTGGTGCTACCTGTAGCGCACTTGGAATGACCTAGGTGACAAGCCCCGGCAAGTCAGCTCTTAGGTTTGACTGATTTCCTTAGTCCCTCCCCAAACCCAGGGAGTGAAGTCTAAGCCTGGAGTGGGCCAGGGCGGGCAGGGATGTGTTCAAGTCGTCAACATCCCCACGACCCTCCAGGCAGCTGGAAATGCAGAGAGGAGCCAAGGGAAGGTGTGCTTGTGCTCCTGAGGTTCATCGGGAAATAATGAATGCGTGAATGAAAGGTTTTAGGACCTCTTTACAGATGCTCAAAGCCCAGCACACAGCTCATGGGTCTCTAGAACAAGGGCTTCTGGGCTAGACATCAGCTAGGAACATCCACATCTGGTCAAAATTCCCTCCTTCCTTGGACCTCAGACAAGGGCCTCGAGCCTCTCTCCAGCAGTTTAGGCTCTAGAGGAGTGGGCGGTGGGTGTAGCCCTAAGCTGGCAGGAGGCTCCCCTGAAGGAGACAGGGGATGGGGGGAAGAGGGATGTCATAGATGTCAGTAAACAACACAGAGCAGGCCCTGCGTGGGAGCTGGAAAGAGACATCAGCAACTCTCAGACCTTCAGTGAGGGAGACACACTGCCACATGACATTACCAGTAACGGTATTCCTGGGATGAGCAGATGGCATAACGGTTACATTGCTGGATTCCCATGTAGTCAGCTGCAGTTCGAGTTCTGGACCTGGTGGCTTGGGACTTATCCTGGCCACATGTGTGTGCATGCCCAGAATCCTGGAGGGGAGGAGAGTAGAGGAAAAGAGATTGTGGCATGTGGCCAGCCCCCCGGAGAGACATTTTTTGCTATAGGGCATGTGCACTCGCCAGAAAGACAGAAAGCGAGAAATCACCCCCCGACTCCCCTGGGGGAATGGCCACACCGCGATCCCTTGTCTGTTTTCCTCTCAGGATTTTGGGCACGCATGCATATGTGCCCGGCATGAGTTTTAAGCTGCGGGGTCTGGAACTTGACCCACAGTCGACAACATGGGAGTTCAGCAATGTAACCATTACGCCATCTGCTGCTCCCTCTTGCTCTCTGCCTCTCTGTCTCTCTCCATCTCTCTGGTGAGCACATGTGTCCTATAGCAAAAATCTCTCTTAAAAAAGACAAAAAATCAAAATGACAATATATTCCTATCTAGGTAGGCATGCATAGATACAATGCTGAAAGAAAGTTACAGCCTAATGTTTACAGTGATTATTTTCATTTGTGAGATTACTTTTTATACACACACACACACACACACACACACACATACACACATACATTTCCAGGTAGTTTTTATTTTTCTTATTTCTTTTTCTTTCTTTCTTTCTTTTTACAATGAATATACACTGTTCATACAATTCAAACAAAACCAACACGTTTTTAGAAGGAGGGTCCGACCACCGAGAACCCTAGAGGTCATCTCATTGTACAGAGATTGGCTTATTGCACAGATGGTAGAAGTGAGGCCCACAGGGACCCAGCCTCAAGCTCAAGGTCACGAGGCAAGTACAGGGAAAAGGCGTGAGCAGACTTCAGAGCCTCTACCTCCCAGCTGGGACCCGGGCTGGGAGTTTCTGCAGCTGGGAGCAGGATGTGGAGCCAGAATCCACCGGATGTTTTGGACTCAGGAGGATGCAGACTGAGATTCCAGACCCTTGGAGGAGGAAATGGTGAGCAGCAGGGATGACGGAGGGAGGGGAGGAAGCAGGTATGGGCTGGTACCCTCTTCAAAGCTCTCTCTCATTCCACGCTTGCAACAGCCCTGTGAATTTAGCAGGATTGCTCAGATTTGTGGAGTAAGGCAAGGGCTCAGAGAAGAGCAATGCCATGCAGGATGTCACACAGCTGATGTGGGACCACGGAAAGGGACCCCAGCTCTGACTCCGTTTGGTGCGATTCAAGGAGAACACCAACATTGATGTATTGTGAAGTGAAATAAATAAATAAACAAATCTGTGGGCAGTGGGAATTCCATGGCCCAAGTCCCCAGAGTCATTATAAGTCCAGAGAACAACCATGGAGGCTGCTGGCCCCTCCAGTGAAAAGAATTCACTCTGGCAACATCTGCCCTCCACCCCGTGGTATCGATTTTCTGTTCTCTTCACCAGACTGCTGGCATTTGAACCTAGTCCAAGCTTCGTCTGGAAGGAGGGCCTGTCTCTTTAATCTGCGGTGGCTGCCGCCCAGATGTTACTCCTGCTACGTGCTGCACGTGCCCTAGCAGTTCCTGGAGCAGGACTTGGCTTCACTGGGAAAGTACAGAAAGGATACCCATCTGCAGGGCTGCTAGGGCGTGGCTAGTGCCGGGAGGGACTTTTCCCACTCTCATACTCATCTCTTATCCATTTCCTTCAATGGTCAAAGGGCAACAGCCCCGGTGGGATGGCCACACTGTGAAGCCAGAGAGACCGTCACTTCCCACCCACTTAGCCCCTTCTTAAAAATAGTAGGACCAGCCCTATAGGCAGTGGCTAAACCCTGTGCATCAGGAGCCAGATCCCGTACGACCGACCAGCCACTATGGCTTTTAAAAGACAA